GAATTCTGTAGCTGCCATTATCCAACTGTTTTCTTGAATGAAGATGATCATCTCTGTCAGACCTCTCAGTTTCTCGAGCCTTGGGTCTGTGCCTAGAACCAATTTCATCATCACGCTCTCTCTTCCTCAAGTCTTCAGTTCTACTTTTCCTGCCATAAGGATCATCATCTCTTCGTTGGGAATTGCAATCAGCAACATCACGTTCCCTTTGCCTTTCAAAACCATCTGCTTTCACATACAAATTACGTGATGAGCTAGGATCATATTGTCTCTTAGGATAAGAATCCTCCCCAACTTTAGCTCCCATCCGGCTTCTTTCTGTCTCATATCTTCCATCATGATCTCTGCTATGAGATCTCTGATCATTTTCATCAAGATCTCTCTTGGTCGCCATGTGAGTAGACCCTCTGTCCTGAACAACTTCATCCTCAGTGCCATCTTGCCACTTCTGATAATCTCTGCTGCTGCCAGATCTTGCTTTGCTGTTCTCACTACTTCTGGCAGCCTTTGGCTCCTCGTCAAGTTCCTGAATCATTCTTTGTTCAACTTGAGAGCCTACTTTCTGTTTTTTGGTGGAAGAAAGTGAAGTTTCATCTTTAACAGTTTTGTTTGAAATTTCATCCTTGTCCATTACAGGGCTTCTATCAGCTGACACAAGCTTATCATCTGCAGCAGTTTTACACTCCACACTAAACTCCCTGGCATCTCTAACTGGATTAGGGGACATACCAGCCAAACTTTCAACTGATTCCTCCTGATTATCACTGATCTCATCCTGTCTACTTCGACTATGTGTGGTTTGAGGGGATCTGTCACGTGTTCTTCCCTGTCCATGCCTGTGTCAAGGAGAAATTTAAGAGTGTCCAATAAGTTCAAGAAAAAGGTCAAGCCAGTATAACCAACAAAAGAATCAATGGATTAATAGGAAATCTTCAGTTGATAAACCAGCCATCACTGGCTTCTGAAGTCAATTTGTACACCTCACTCTCCAGGAGGGAAAGTTTAAGCAATGACTCATGCAGGATTGTTCTTCTTATATAAACTTCAAACAGTATAAACAAAAAAGTGAAGGACATCAATAACAAAATTTTATTCCAGGCCTCAGCTAAACCTTAGAGAAAGTAACCAATGTGAATAAAAAAGGTAAGCTTTGATGAAGGAAAGGCATTTTCTGTCCTGTGAAATAAAAAACTATGGAGTAAGAGATGGCCAAAATGGAGTTTCCAATTGATCACTCAACAATCATATATGCTAAGCATCTTTTCCCAAGTCAATCAATGGAAATCTTTATTCCCATTGAATTTCTCCTTTCTCTAGTACTCAAATTACTATATATTTATCTTTTACCCCTTTCAAAATACTCAAGACATTTCAATCATGATTCCAGATTCCCAAGGCATTTGAACAAGTTGTAGGTATTAATATGGCAACCCCTACAAAGAATCATCCTCCATTTGTCCATATGTTCATTGTGCAAATAGCTTATCACACTATTTCATTACTTTGGAATGCACTTGCATGTTCAGACTTAAAATAACACATGAAAGATGCTGCGGAGAAAACGAACATCAATTAGATTTTCAGATTGAAATAGCCAGGATTAAGACAATATAAATTCATGTCAGATGGACCACTTCTTTAACTCTGAATTTAAGTAACACAGTAAAATAAAGAAGCAACATATTAGTCAGGGTTAAGACTAAATTTTTATTTGAGAGAAAAAATATCATAAATTGATCCAAGATTATTGCACACCTATCATCATGTGCAATGCCAAAGTTTCCACTAGGATACATTGGACTCTGACCCCTAGAACCAGGACTGTATTGAAGATGTGCTTCCACAGGGTAAGGTGAAATCACATTGACTTCAGGCATGTTATCATGAACAGAATTTGCGAATGGCATCCTCCTTCCGACTGCCTCTCTCTTTCTGCTCCTATAAGCTTCTTGAAAACCATCAAAATATTCAGTGCGTGACTGTCTAACATCATCTTCAACTTCATTATCTCCACTAAGATCATGTCTTGGACGATCATTTTCTGTATTTTCTGCAACCTCATTGCCAGTGGAGGAATCATCTTCTATAGAATTCTGACAGACAATCTGTTTGCAAAAATTCAAGTTAGAGTATTTTACAAAAATGCAGCATATACATATTCAACAAATATAAATGGGTTAGTGCAATGGAAAAGAGGTTATGCTGCTAACCTCGATGATTGCATCTGAATCACGGATTCGAGGTGGTCGAGTATCGATAGAGGGGAGACGTTCACCAAAACCACCTTCAACCTGTATTGCTCTTCCAGTTGGCTGGTTACAAATAAATAAATATATAAATAAATCAGTGATCCTGGAAACTGTTTTGGAAATGAAATGATTGATATATATCTAGAATCAGCATAGTCTTATACACTCATAAAAGCTATATCTAATTCATGTTGGATGGAAAGTATAACATACTAGTGGAGGTCGAACACGAGCAGTTCCTTTTGTTAGGTCATTTGGTCTACCATCTGACTTGCCATGATTTGCACTGTCAGTTGGAACCTCTTGACCAGTGGCTGCTGCCAATTCTGGGGGTAAATCTGGATCATAATCCTACAAGAAAGAAGCAGAAGTAGAATTTATTCTGCAAGTTCCAGTTGCAGGACCAGATTATGAATCAAGGATTAAATATTATATTGATACATTTTTCCAGATACCCAAAAGTTGCTCATTACCTGCTCTGCTCGCCCACTTTCATAAACACGAATTTTGCTTTGCATGGTTGTCTCCAAGCGGCGTTGTTCCTGAAGAATTTTAGAAAATAATCTCAGTCTCCAGTAAACTACTGGACAATATCTCTTCAAAAAAAACACTTACCAGTTGTCTGCAATAATCTTGCCACCTCTCCTCATTCAGACCAAAGTTGAAGAAGTCTGAAATATCAACACCGGAACATTTCCATGGCTTTTCCTCTAAACTATCAATATCAACGTCAAATATGGTCCTGAAATGACATAGGCATAGAGAAAATACTAATTAGACATTACTAAATTTTGGGTTTGAAATTCTAGTGTACATCTGATACAAGTAGACTGCACCATAGCAAAGTCCACTAGAGAATCCAAAATAAGCCTAAAAATCAGAAAAATAAAAAATTTTCTGCATGTAAATATGCATGAAATGAGACCATCAACAGAAAATTCTAACAGTAGCAGGTATTTGTACATCAGAAAACAAGTATCATGTCAACATTCGATTACTTTGAAATATCAACAACGAAATTAAATGCTCCTAGTTCCCCAATGCCAAAATTTAACAAAGAAAATGTTGAATTACTAATAATGGTCAATCACAACATTGTGTAACTCAGTAACTAGAAATAAGCACTTTGAGATAAGTGAACATTTACTTGTGAGAAGGAAGTGTGAATTCTAGTCCACCACCAAAACCTCGTCCCATACCGTTACCCCATCCAGTCATTCCAAACCCAGGTTGGAAGCCTTTTTGCATGGGAGGACCAGCTTTCAGTCCAGCTGGTCTCCATTCACCCCTACCACGGACAACCATGTTGACAACTGGACGAACTTGACCAGGTGCCATAGCACCTGCAGTGGCCCCAGGCATTGGTGCTGCACCAGGTCTTACATACTGCACCCCAGCAAAATAATTTGCAAGATTAATTAGGAAATCGAGGAGAACAAGTAACACAGGCTCATGATAAAGAAGAAATACAGGCATCCATATTAGCAACCTATAAATAGACCATCTGTTAAAATGAAAAATCAAGTTCCAAATACATAACAGACTGAACAGATAAACAGCCTTTAAAATACTTTAAGCAGGAAAAGAAGTCACTCCTCATAATCATGCAACCGATGGAGTTAAACCACCAGGTGGAGGAATTAATTCAAACTTTTCATGACACAACTAAGATGGTTAAAATAAGTTTGGCTAAGTAGTGCTGGCAAATGGATTAGAATTAGAATCAATTTTGTTGTTGTTGTTGTCCAGATTGGCACTTGAACTTGCATTTCCAGCAAAGAAAAGGTTAATCTGTTAAACATACAAATGGTTGCCCTAGTTACTAGGGTAACATCTGGGGGACTAAATGGCCGTGAACTTTTTCATCGAAGAAGTGTTATATATTTTTTTTCTTAAATTAAAAACCACCAGATGAAAGAGGAAAAAAAAAAAGAAAAAGAAAAACCCAGCTCTGAACATTAACTATCACCCAGGAAAGCTCCTGCCATGAAGGAAACTGCGGTAGATCCATAAGGGGCAGAACAAAAAAGACAGCCCCAAGCTATGAAACGAGATTGTTCAATAGTCCAATTCTGACTGAAGAACATCAGCAGCATATATGACTGACCTTAAACTGAGAATGAAATGGAGGATACCCATGATTGCTGTACCCAATCTTGGGCACAACCATGCCTCCACCCATTCCTACATTCGGCTTTCCTGGTTCTCCTCCCTCCTTCCTCTCCCCCTCTCCCGCGGGCGCAGCCTCCTCACCCCACTCCTGCTCCTCCATCCCCTGGTTCGCGTCCCCATCCGCTACAATCACCAGCGGATCCTCATCTTCATCATCATCATCATCCTCACCCATAACACCTCTTTCCATAGGCATGGGCCCGTGGATATTATCATTCAACACTATCTGCAAGTCATCCTCACTGTCACTGTCCCAATCATCCCCTTCTCCTTCCCCATAAGCTTCAGCCCCAACAATCGTGTTCTCCTTCTTGATGTCTTTCCTTCTAGACTCATCTGGATTAACCGAATCCGATAATCCAGGAATTACGGGGTCAGAATTGAGGTCATCAATCCCGTTGCCCTCTTCGATATCAAATTTCACATCATTACCCCCTCCAGGTTCTTCCTTTGACGCCATACTCATCAACGTCCCATCGCGAGTATCCAAAACCCTAGGCTCTGCAGCTGAATCGCGGTCTATCTGGAGGCCAGGGATCAAATCAACAGAACTTGAAGCAAGGCTTCGGTTTGGGGGATTCGGATGAGAAGTTCCATCGAGGATGTCGTTGTCGTCGGAGTGGAGGTTGAGATCGATCGGGCAGGGGATAGGGGCAGGTACAGC